GAACGAGCTTTTGTTACGTCTTTATTGATGACTTCAGATTCGGTGCTATAGTCTTTTGTAGCCTTTTGACATCTCTAGGTGATTCGTTCAGGGTTCTGCTCGTGATTCTTCATGACTTCCCTGAGCTTCTTTGCGAATATCACTATGTCATCATCGACACCATCCCACCAAACTGTGTACAACTTCGAAATCTGGTGCTCTCAGCGTACCCGCGAAATATGCGCCTGCCAGATCCGTTCGCATTGAATTTCAAGGTTTGCAGAATTTTTTTTCTTTTTGCTTGAAAATTTGTCGGATCCGTCCATTTTTCAGCAAGTCGACAGCATCCCAGAAATGGCAATTGAGCCGAAATCCAACTTGAACATGGCATCGATCATCCCAGATTCCATTCGACTGCCACTGGACGCCTATCTGAGGACAAGGTCGGCCGTTGACTTCTTGTCAGCATTGCCCGGCATGCTTCAGGTTTGTTTTCGGCTTTTTCCAAGCAAGAGCACTTTCTATGCACATTTTTTTAGATTTCGGACAACCCGGGTTCGAAGTATAACAGCACAGTAATGAATGCGATGGTGTTGTACGTTGGAATGAAGTAAGATATTGACTTTTTCCTCTATTATAGATAGAGAATGTGTGTTTTAGGGCCATTGAAAGCCTGCATGAGCGCCGTCAGCGCATTTCAATCTGCACGATTGCGCATACAGCTTTCATGGATATTTTCCAAAATCTGGCCGTTCAGTTGTGCACAGAAGGTACGTCAGGCGTAATGTTTACTTTTCTCATGGTCTCGATGTGATTTCACCGTTTTCACTCCCTGTACCTTATATGAACGATTCAGGTCGCTATCTGCTGTTCAATGCAATCGCAAATCAACTGCGATATCCAAATGCGCATACACACTACTTCAGCTGTGTGTTCTTGTTTTTGTTCTTGAACTCGGATCATGATGCGATTCAGGTGAATTTTTATAATTTTCGAAAGACAATCGATCGTAAAGGCACACCAAATCTAAGGTTAGCGAGATTTTTTACGCAGTAAACAAGGCCTTCTAACTGAGTGATAGCTAAAATCCCGCGCAAAATGTGACTTT